TGGTGGAGGTTTGGAGAGTGGACAGGTATTGGCAAGGAGCTTGGTGGCTTGGGTTAACATTGGAGACTTGGCGAAGAAGCTTGGAAGAGGTAAACCTGTTTACCTGCTAACCTGTTTCGATCAGCATACTGTTTGTTTATAAAACAGGCTTCTTAAAGGGCTGTCTGGGTCTGGTTTCAGATGTTTTGACAGGTCTGTGAAAGATCCTGAGCAGAAGACGTTGGTTAGGGGATGAAAACTTGAGGATAAATAAGCCTTGGTTCCCAGGACTGAACAGAACTCTTCCCAGACATGAGAGTTTAATTGCGGGCCATGATCAGAAAAGGGGAGAAAAGGGGTTAAGCAGTTTCTGTGGCAGAGGGAAGCTTGGACACAGCGATTAAGTGGCAGGCGTTGGAGAAACATTGAGAGAAAATCAATGAGAATTCAATTTTTTGTTGGGAGGCCAGAAAGGAAATCTAGTGCAATATGTCAGCATGCACAACCAGGAAACGGTTGCAGTTGTAAGAGACCACATGAGAGTTGTTATTATGAGCATATAGGGTACAAGCTGAGAAAAAAATCTGCCACATCCTTATTCACAGAAGCCCATCAGAAATTTTCAAGCCACTAACTTTTCAAGCAAGCAAACTAGTTCAAGGGGCCAGATTATTGAAAGCCTTTGGCCTGTCTCTGATCCTGTTTCTGCCCCAGGGCTTCTTTTCTTTACTCTGCCCCGCCCTGGACAGAGTTCTCTGATATCTGGTCATTAATGTTTTTGCCTCCTGACCACCACCTCTTGCCTAGACCTATGATCTGTAATCCAGATTCTGCTTCTATGATTTCTTCTGTGCCAAGTTTATGGATTCTCACCTTACCCTCAAATTCTACCGTATGGCTCCGCTTATTTTGCTCTGACCCTTTCTGTTCGTGGACCAATGGGCTCTGTCTCTCTGCTCTCAGATCTGCAGAGAAACCTAAAACCAATTCCTTCCCCTCCTCACAATATGAGAAGTTAAGTGGCCTTTTCTCTGGTCGAACTATAAAAATCAAGAATCGATGCAGTCACTGACACAGTCTTTCCTTTTCAGAGGTTCCTGTCTCTCCTGTTGAGTAGTTTCCTGTACCATTTGGTGAAATATATCTTTCAATCATTCTCTATTGTGTCTGGCTAAATTTTGTGTCACTTGTCACTTTACAGCCTCCACCAATGTATGGAATTAATATCGTGGAACACTTTGAATAAACAAACTGAACTTGACTGTATTGTTTGGTGAGAGGAATCAAAGACTAGTTCATGCAATGATCCACCTGGCAGCTGATTTTAGATTATTTAAACTTCCCTGTTCTGATGAGGCCCGAATATGCTGTGCACAGTTTCAATCTGCACAGGAGGTGTTTTTATGCATAAGTTTGGATTTTGAATATTTTCATTTAACCTCAGTATTCCCACCTTCAGTAAAGTATTGTTAATGTATGTCAGTATAGCTAAGGTTGCAAAGGTGGAAGGTTAAATATAGTTCATTAATGTTGAAACTGAGAGAAAATACAGTAGCAGCCATTCAAAGTGGCCCTTCCCAGTCAAACGCCAACCGAATGGCCGCCCATTACCCTGCAACTCTCAGCAAAATCCCCTCCAAATTCCAGCCACTGCAGTGACCCCTCTTTTACTCTTATTCCACACTTTCACTGAATTATGGCTGATTTATAATCGGAAACCAGGTCACCTGCGTGGGGGTCGCAATCAACGTAAATATGCCCCCCTCCACAAACACTCTGCTGCACCTCCCCAAAATGGTAGCACACCGCAGACAGTGCCGCAGACAGGAGGCCTCTGATTTGTCCGCTCTACGCTATGCGTATTTCCTGTTTGGTACCTTACTGGCTTGTTCTGTTTTTGTGACCGCCATTGTGGAAAACGACTGGTGAAGATGGACCAGCTAGAAGAGCGAGGTGCGTGAGAACGCCGGGACCCTTTTTCCACCTGGATCCCCGCTCTTTTTGGCCCTCATGTCCCTCCGTTGTTGCACAAACTTGCCCCCACTTCCTCACTGCCTCGGCCTTATCTAGACCCACAGCTAGTTCCTGATTGGCCCTCTGGTGTTGTGGCGTGGAATAACATAGCGCAGACCATGCTTCAATATCTGGCAGAAATCAAAAATATCTACAACAAGCTAACTGCGACACGCTGCTGCTTGACGATAATCAGCCCTTTACAGGACTGACCAGGAGATGGTACTTCTCTTTAGATCTTAACGTCCACAAATTATGACAGAAAGAATATTACACATGGACCATTGACCAATAGGGGTGTAATATGGGAAAAGGAAAAATGCTGAGTGGATAAAAGGTTAAGAAATAAATAAATAATACATTCCATCCAAGCTGTCGTGTCTCAAACTCCTACACAGAATTTCTGCTCACTTTTTCCCTTTTTCCATCAAACTAAGACAATGTTTATTATTTTTAATGAATTTATTATCTTTGGGCTCACTACTTCTTACTTTTGTGCACTTTCAGGTTCTGGGTTATTACAACCGACGAGGGATTAACCCTGAGGCCTTTCTTAAAGAAATCCGGTTTATTGCCAGTGACCCTGATGAGGAGCACTTCTTCAAAGTTACAGATGAATCTGCTCTGAAAGATATTGTAGACGCCCTGGGAGAACGAATTTTCTCTTTGGAAGGTCAGCTAGCACGACATTTCCTTTGGTTTATGTTTTTTTTTTCTTGTAGGTAAACAGTGTTTTATCTATTTTCTGTGTGGTTTATAGGCATTAGCAGTCAGGGTCGGGGCTTTGGTCTACAGATGGCTCAAGCTGGTTTTTCATCACTTTTAGTCAACGTAAGTGGCTCTTATTAAGATTTAGCTAATCTTTTCTGAAATATAACCAACTTTATCACTGGTGACGTTGTTGACAGATTGATTAGCTGAGCAGCAGTTAAAATGGACAACACTTACCTTTTCACCTCAGCTGATGTTTTTTAAGGATGGATTATAACCACAATCATTGGCTTATTTCCCATTGGTCAGCTCCAAATGAGTTGGAGGTGAATGTGTTTATAAGAAATGACCACCAGAGACCTGCAGATGTTCCTCTCTACATTTTTATATTTGTATCTATCTGACCGATCTAAGTTTTCACGTTAATGATAAATCTTCCTCAAGCTCCAGGTATACCTGCGGACAAAATCTGTTAGTTCAATCTCTAACGTTCTGCTCTCTCTGCTTTTTCTCATAGCAGCTTCATCCGGTCTGTTCCTGTTTGGCTGTGACTCCATCCTGGAGAGAAATATCAGCTGTGCAGCTACCATCTACACCTTTGTTTCTAAATGTTGGAGCTTGGCCTGTTTTCCAGTGTAGTCCTGTTTCTCTGACTGTGACTAACTGGATGTGCTCTCTTCTTCCTCTGACATGGGAGCTGGCTCGGAGCTCGTCTGCCTGGCTGTGTGTTTCCTGGTTGACAGTTGCCTTTTGTATCTATGCTTCTTTTTTT